TCCCTGGCAGCGCCCTCCTGCTCATCCCACACGGCGGGATGTTCCGGGGCGGGCCGTTCCGCAAGTTTAAGGCGTGGGTCGCGTGCGGCAACGGTGACAGTCCCGACGCCGGACGCGTGGAGCTCGCCATCAGGGAATCCGCTCCCGACGACTTCGTCGCTCAGCTACAAGCAGCGGCCGATAGCAGCACGCCCCTTTACGTGTATGGTGCCAAGATCAGCCCCTCCAATAGCAAAGCTTATATGAATAGCGTCTTCCTCAGCGGCTCGCTTGTAGCAGCAGCGAGTGCCCCCGGCAAACGCCCTCCCAAACGAGTGCACACCTTCCAGGCGGCTGTTCAGCGAACTACCGCGGCCACCGTGCCCGCCGACACAACTGATATGGTATTGGCTTGGGAGCAGCGTAGCCGCAGTGCCCTTGTTTTACCGTCGGATGGTCCACACACCTCGGCCACCCTGTCACCCAACCCCACTTCTGTCACTGTAGTCGGCTCACTACCGGTCCTCCCGCTCGTCCTCACAATCGGCAGCCGCAGTTATCCGGTGTGCACCGACAGCATCGCCGTCATGCAACAGTTGCCGAACTACGACGAGTTCTTCGGCAGCGCCAGCTTCGCAGACGATAATGATCGTATGGCGTACGCTGCTTACGACTCGTTCACCGTCACCGGTACCATCACCACCAAGACAGAAGGTCGAACAACGTTCATCACGGCTCTGCAGGAATGACTCCTTCTTGCGTGTTCATCCACTTGCGCTGCCGTCCGCTGCACGTCGTCCAACTTTGCTATGGCTTGCACCTGTCCCCTCCCTTCACTTCCATCTAGCCGCCCCTGGATGGCGTTAAATGCCAGCGTTGAGCGGCTGTCTAGCCGCGCAACGACACGCTTGCAGGGCTGGGTGCATTCCGTGCACTTGTGGGTTCGACTCCCACACAAGTTGGCGGCGTCCCTCGCATCTACACTGGTGAGTGTATGAACGGTATGACCGGTTTCGCTGGTATAAGTTAGGGTGTTGACGCACGAATGCTGTACCGGTTTGACATTCGTGCGTGTCTCATTCGTATCCA